GGGGTTTAGGGTTTGGGGGGTTTAGGGTTTAGGTGCAGTTTAGGCAGAGGTTTTTCGGGCTTGGGGTGGCTTAGGGTTTGGGGTTTAGGTGCAGTTTAGGCAGAGGTTTTTTGTTTTTTGGGGGGTTCAGGGTTTGGGGTCTATAGGAGTTCAGGGTTTAGGGGTTAGGTGGAGCTCTTGATGGAGATTTTTTTTGCAGGGCCTGAAGAGCCCTAAGGTCTGTGACGGACGTTGCTGGAACGCTGCAGATTTCGCTAGTGTTCTCCATCAACAGCATGAAAGCTCTACCAAAAGCTGTATCTCTGCAGCAAAACCCTGCTTTACTGAGCTCCTTGATGCTTGACCACGATCTTTCACTGTCCCTTAACTAAGGAATAGCTATAGCTTATGATCTCCGACTAGAGTTCAAGTAGTGTATATGTATATTCAATGTAATAGTTGATCGATCTTGGAGGATTTGGGGAAGGATGAGTCTCCAACCTCCCTGCCACCTGCAAGCCCTCGCAACTAACTGCAGAACCGGAAACACCAAAACAAAAAACCCGAAGGTTTAGGCTCAGGGGTCGAGTACCTTAGCTCAAAAAAGGTTAACCCTTTTGAGTTATAAGAGGTTTATTATATAAGCCCCAAAAGGTTAAAGGTTACCTACGCGGCCCGTAAGGTTTAGGGCTTAGGACTTTGAGGGCTTAGGGCTGAGGACCCTGAGTCCCTCAGTCCTAACCCCAACTCCAGGAACACAGAGAACTCAATACCCCTTAATTAAGGAATATACTTTCAATCAGAATTAATTTAAGGGTATATTCCTTAATCAAGGAATATACCTTAATTAAAATTAAGGAATATACTTTCAATCAGAATTAATTTAAGGGTATATTCCTTAATCAAGGAATATACCTTAAATCAGAACAATAAGGCCCCTTATAATTTAAGGGTATATTCCTTAAATTAAGGTGTATTGGGCTCTCTGGGGAGGTGTAAGCCCCCAAAACCCTGAAATTCTAAACCCGAAAACCCTACAACCCTAAAAACCCTAAAACCCTGAAGTTTCCTAAAGGGTTCTCTGGCAACACCCCTTTTTTGTAACCCTGCGGTGCAGCGCCAAAAGCGTGGAGCGGATGCCAGCTTTGCTGGCGAGGCGCGACCGGTTGTGTTTAGGGTTTAGGGGTTTAGGGTTTAGGGGTTTAGGGTTTAGACCCCTAAACCCTAGATACCCAACACAGAAGCCTGAATGATTAGAGCCACGATGCCTTCAGGGCTCCATACTATAAACTCTTGTTATCAGATGCCCCAGAACCCTCACTTTGAGCATCCAGGCCTCTGTGTTAGAGCTGACCCATCCTGATAGCATGGATGAGGGCATTCCGTCCTTCGAATTTCACTCCCCGCTGAGGCCCCAGCCAGCGGCTCCGTTCGGAGACCGTCCAAGTTCTTCGGATATCAAGGGGTCCAAAATATGGGGCTGCCATATTTAGAAGCCCCGACCGACATTTAGAATCTTACTACTATGCTTCAGGATGTGCGGCATAGGGGCTTCGAGTTTTCGGGGTTCTGAAAGACAGGACTACTAGTCTTCAGGGGTCTAGAGAACAAGTGTCTTGCGATTCTGTATGTAGAGGTCTTGATAGAAACTACGCTGTGCCTCAAAACCTGGTCTAGGTTCCCCAGTAACCCCTTAATAATAAGGGTACCCTTTTTCCTAATATTCGGCTTTAATAAGGAGACCGCCATAAAAAAAAGGGCAAAAGGGTACTACTGGAGAACCTACTGATACCTGAAACCTGAGGCCCTGATCTTATAATCAAGGCCCCTATGTTCAGCAACCTCACCGGAAGGACAGTGGTTCAGCCGCAGGGAGGGAGCTTGGGGTTTAAGAAGGGTTAGGCCTTGAAATCGTCGGTAGATGTCTACAGGTCGAGAAACTTTCAGTCCAATGGCCTTATCCTGTATAAGCTCAGGGGGTTTAGGGTTTAGGGGTTTAGGGGTTTAGGGGTTTAGGGTTGAGGGTTTAGGTTCAAGCATTCATCGTACTTAGGTTAACAATATATAGGTCCAGTATGCTCTGCTTTAATTGTCGAGGCCTCCAACTCAGACTGTGACGGAGCTGTAGATCAGCCAACTGCTAATCTGGGTTTAGGGTTCAGGGCTGAGGGTTGCTACTCTGGGTTCTCCGACTTTCGTTGCGCTGGAAGGCAGGTCTGCGCAGTGCTAGAAGAGGTAATGTAGACCGTCGGTTCATGATCACCTGTTCGATAAGAACCATAATTGTTTGTAGGATTTTCCTGACAGCCCTCATTAATGGCGGTGGCTTTGCGATCTACACTACTTCAGGTATTTATAGCCCAACTTCTACTTATTTGCCCGATACGCAAAGGAAGACATGTTTTCCACTCTCAGAAGCTGAATATCCTAGAGAACTCAACAAGTTGAATTTGTGATAGTGGTGCACTAGATGTAAATGTAGCTTGTTCCGAACATTCAAGAAATTTGCAGAGACATCTCTTTGACGACCCACCTTCACAACGCTCCGTAAATTTGGGGAGCTCACATGGGGTTTCGAAAAAACACAAGGAATCCCAATTTAGAGCCCTAAAGAAAAAGGATCACCACTGTTCGGATAAGTCAGATACTCACAATTTCCAGAAACCCCAAACGTCTGGGGGCCATGCACAGCCGCAGGAACCAGTCTGAATACTCTTTTCTTCTTAAAAGGCTGAAAGGCTTGGGATTCGGGTTCCATGAAAACCCTAGCCCAAAAAAGGCTAAACCCTAAACCCCAAACCCATTTATGGTTTGGGATTCGGGTTCCATAAGCCCCACGAGGCCTTAGGGGCCGAGTACCCTAGCCCCCCCAAAAACGGTTAACCTTTTGAATTATCATCGGTTTATCTAAGCCCCAAAACGGTTAAAGGTTACCTACTCAGCCCCCAGGTAAACCCCAAGAGGCTAAAGGTTACCTAGCCACTCTAAACGCACCTAATATCTAAACCCTAGACCCTAAACCACCTAAAAGCCTCTAGACCCTTAGTCTAAGCCCAAAACCGCCTAGACCCCAAATCCTGGGTTTGGGAGTCGGGTTCACGTGAAGGTTTCCGAAAATAGGGGACCCTAATATCGTACCCTAAATAGTAGGATCCTTATGATAAGGACCCCAAAAATAAGGTACCCCTAGTTTGCGGAAAGTCCCGTGTGAAGCGAACCCGTCGAACCTCTGAGACTCCTATGGTCGGATCTAACATCTTTCTGAGGAAAAAAGGTAGGGTTGTAAGGGCTTTTGGGGGTTTAGGGGTTTCGGGTTTAGGGCTGTAAGGGCTTTGAGGTTTAGGGGTGGGCTACCACTCACCAGTCTAAACCCCTAAACCCCAAAACTCAAGACTCCTAACCCTCGAAACCCCACCTTAACCGCCAGCAACCTACCCTTTTGAAGGACTTACAAAAGGAAGTCATAGGAAGGATCCCTAACTTAGGGGCCGAGTACCTTAGCCCAAAAAAAGGTTCACCTTCTTGAACTATAACCGGTTTAGATACGCCCCCCCCCCCAAAAGGGTTAAAAGGTTACCTACTCATCCCCTAGGTGATTAAGGCCCCTATTTTCTAAACCCTAAAACCCTGAACCCTAAACCCTCTTTTCTGGTCCCAGGGTGGCTCCCCGGCTGTGCCTGACACCTCGGAACATTAAGCCGACATGAGCGCGCGGCCTAAACTCCTCGAAGAGCGTGGGGCTTACTGGATTTAGGGTTCTTAGGGTTCTTAGGGGTTTAGGGTTTAGGAGTTTGGGGTTTAGGACTTAAGGTTTAGGGGTTCAGGTGTGAAAGGTTTAGGAGTTTAGGGCTTAGGAGTTTAGGCTGCAGAAGTTCAGGGTTTAGGACTCAAAGGTTCATGGGTAGTTCCCTAAACCCTAAACCCCTAAACCCTAAACCCTAAAGTTCTATAGGCTTCTGTCAAGCTCTGGGCTCGAGACTTGCCAGTAGTGGAGCTGCTAACTACCGATCCTCGAGGGTTCCTAACCTGATGGCTGGAGATCCTCGCTTGGGGGACGTTGCTCCCGGTAGCCTCCTTGATCTGGTGGCTTATGTCACGGCTTCTGATTCCCATGGAGCTACCTTTGAAGCTTTGTGGCACCATGAACAATTTCGTTGTTCCGGCTCTTTTGAGGTTGATCGGGTGTACACCTTCTACGGCATTCGGTACAAAGGAGTTATGGGCTCGCTTCATCACCTGGATATATTGGAAGGTACTTTGGTAGTCTGCAGGCCTACGCTGACTGCTGACTCTTTCATGTCCGTCAAGGAGGTATGTGCAGGTTTGGGTGGCATTTCTTCGGGGTTGATGCAATTGGGAGGCAGATGTCTGGCAATGCTAGACAGCAATCCGGTTGCTTGCTCTGTCCTGCGCGCGAACTTCAGCACTGTTCTTGAAGGTGATATTGCCGAACGCTCTGATCGCATCAAGCTTCACGAAGTGTCATCTGAGGTGCGTGGCATGCTGTGTGCAGGTATCCCCTGCCATGGCTTTCCCCCTTCGGGTTTAGGCCTCGGTTCTCCCGACCCTAGGCATCATACCCTCGTCCATGTTCTGCAACACATGTGGCATTCGCAAGCTTGCTGCCTTGTCTTGGAGTGTGCACCAGACATACTGCACAGCGCGCCGGCCATGCAGTGTTTGGAGCAGTTTGCTGCTTCGGCCGGTCTAGTACTACAGCATACCATCCTCGAACTTGCTGATCAGTGGGCTTCTCATCGACGTAGTTGGTGGGCTGTCTTGACTATTGCAGGCACCGATCAGTTCCAGCTTTGCCCATGGCCTGTGCTGGCCACGCCTCTTAAGGTTCAGGATGTTATTCCAGAGTGGCCTGTCTGGCCAAAAGCCACTGAGACTGCCCTTCTATGGGATGCTAAGGAGCAAGAAACCATTGAGGACCAGAGTTTTGCCTCGGCATCACATGTCTTGGTTGCCTCTGCCCCAGCTCCCCCTGCACTTCACACCTGGGGTTGTGCTTTTAGGCCTTGTCCCTGTGGCTGCCGGCCTTTTGCGATTAGCCAAGCTCGCCTCAAGCCTGAACATCGTGGACCCGGGGTCCCATCTGCTGCTGTGGAAGGCCTTCGATTTTTGCATCCTGCTGAGGTCGGGTTGCTCAACTCGTTGCCGCCTCTTTTTCTCCATCACCCGGACCCCAGGACAGCTCTTTGTCTTGTGGGTCAGCTCGCGGCTCCCCTGCAGGCGCTTTGGATTTGGGCTCAGGTGTTGTCCTTCATTCCTTTGTGCTTCCGCCATAAGCAGATTGATCCGCTTGTCGAGCTGGACAAATTCAAGCAGCTGCTGCTGCAACAGCGGCAAGACCACTGGCTGTTGCCTTCCATGTGTGCCGAAGGCCTTCTTTCGCTTCAGGATGCAAGTGGCCAGCGACATGAACGTGCTTTGGGCCCGGTCACAGCTGGTCAACTCATGTGTGCCGAGTCTGCCCTTTTGCCGCCTGGCTTTAAGGTGCATGTGTCGGTCAATGGCCGGGTCCTACCGCGCTCCGCTCACCTCGCCTTCCAGCCGGCAGGTCCCACTTATCACCTACATGTGCAAAGGAAGGCGGCGGCTTTGGACTCAAAGCCAATCGCCCGTGTCTCTGGATGCAACGCCACTTCCTGTGGAGGCTCCCCTGCCTCAGTGGCCCCGTCCCCGCCTGCCTGCTCTGAGCAGCCGACTTCCACTCCTTCACCTCCATCCCCGCTGGATGCTTTGTGTACTGTCGGTGCCTCAGATTTCACGATTTGGTATGGGATACTCCAATGGGTCCAATGCCCGGCTGCTTGTATTGACACTTGCTTGGTGCCCCCCTGTGCTGCTGAAACCTTGCTGCAGCTGCTGAGCGAAGACCTTTTGGTGCAGGCCACTGGTTCTTTCTTGCCACAGGGCCCTCTGATACTTGTTCCTTTTGTCTCGCAGGGACACTGGTCATTGATTTCGTTGAGGGTCGCCCCTGCGGGCATTGAAGCTGAGCTTTGGGACGGTGTCCCTGGCCGCAACCTGTCAACTGCCAGACTGCTGGTCCGCACTCTCTGTCGTCTTGATGGTGCGGCTTTTCTGTCTTTGACTGAGCACACACATTGGTTGCAGCAGGACCCTGCCTCTTGTGGGGCGCTTGTGATTGCTCATGCTGCTGCACTTACCATGCAGGATGCCTCGAACACCTTGTTGGACTGGGCTTTGATTTTTCAGCATGCCTTTCCGCCCCACTTGGCTTTTCTTCAGGGCTTTGGTGGATTGACTCCTGAGCAAGACAAGGACTTATGCCTCCTGCTCCTTGACAAAGGAGTTCCCTCCGAGGCTGTCGCCGCCCGGGTTCAGGCTGCTGTTGCTAAGGTTGGTCCCGGCCCGATTGCACAGGCTCTCTTGCATAAAAATCCTTGGCAGGCGCTAAAGGCCTGTGCCTCCAAGCCCTCCTGCATGTTCCGTTGGATCTTGGCAGAGGAGCTCCAGAATCACGTTGAGAGGCAGGCCCAGAAACGATTTGGCACACAGGTGCCTAAGGCAAAGTCGAAGAAGGCTAAGCCTGCTCGACGGCAGTTGCAGGCCCCTCTTCATGTGGACCCACTGCAACTCCGTCTTGCTCCGGGCACCTTCTCTGCAACCTCTGGCTCTCCACTGGGACAGCTTGACTTTCATGAGGTTCAGGCCCAAGCCACCGGCATTTGCTTTTGCACTACAGCCCAGGCCGCTCCTTTTGTGACCCATGCCAGAAGCTTAAGTGTGGACCCTCTGGCTCTGGTGACCACAGCCGAGCTCGCGGCCGACCAAGTTGGCGCTGCCAGGGTCCAGAGCATTCGCTATCCTGCGGTTTTCGCTCCTACTGAGGAAGCTGTTTTAGTGGCGGGTTCCTTGATTCAGCTTGGCGACGACGATGTTCAATTGGTTTCAGCCAGCATTGCAGAGAGCTGGATCGCATTGACACGGTCGTCTGCCGTCTCAACTTGTACAGGGATGAAAGTGCTTTGGCCTGGGAAAAGGTTGCTGAAGCACCTGTTCGCACCCTCTTGCAGCAGATCCCTGCACTACAGGTGTGCAAAGATCCTACATGCAGCCAAACCTGTGGCGCATTTCATGCGGCTGTTGATGAAGTGGTGGAACATCTTTTCCTGGACATTTGGGCTCGCCAGTGGTGCCGTTCTGCAGGAGCAAAGGTCAAGGCCCAGGATGCCGAGGTGTTTCAGGCCTATGTCCGGGTGCCAGCCTCTTCTGTGATGCATCTGCTCAGGCTCTCGCAGACTGGGCTCTATTTCGAGCCCCGAGCCCCCGATGGCACCGGTCCTCACCCTGCCTGGTCTGTTGTTTGGTTGCCGGGTGCTTCTTTGGCCGCGGCACAACATGCCCTTCGGACTACCGAAAAAGCCGTTGCCTTGGCACGACTTGGGAAAAAGTACGGCTTGCGAACCAGGGAGGCGGATGAGCAACAGGTCTTCGAGGCACATAGGCCGCAACACCAGTTCTTGAAAGTGAGGGTAGCGGCTCACTTTAGGCTGCATCCTCTTCCTCATGGGCTCCAGCGGTCAGCACTTGTCCAGCTCTTGAAGCAGTGGGGCTGGACTGGTAAACCGTTGCAGCCGGATCGTGGTGACTCCAATGGGGCGGCTTGGCTTGTTGGCGCATCCTGTGACCCTCCTGCCCCTGCCATGCCGCTCGGCTCGGACTACGTGTTGATTACTAAGATCCGTGACATCGGAGCCTCAAGCAAGGCCGCTCCGCTGCCAGTGTATGCATCTCTGCGCACCAAGAAAGCTCTGCTTCTTGATGACGACCCCGATGAGCCTGCTGCAGATCCATGGGTCACTGGCCCTGATCCCTGGTCACAGGCCCGCCCTCTGCAAGCTTCTACGACAGTTCCCGCCACTTCTTCTGCTGGCACGAAGCTTGAGCAAATCAAAGCTGACCTGAAGCAAGACTTGCAACAACTTGTCAGTGAACAGCTCGAGGCCAAACAGACCTCAGAGCCCCCGCCCGGACTCAGTGCACATGACCACCGCCTTCACCAGCTTGAAGTTGGGCTCAACGAGGTCAGGCATCAGAACTCTAAGTTCGAGAGTTGGTTTCAAAACATTGGGACGACGGTCAGCGATCAGGCCCAGCAAATCCAGGCCCTTGCCGGCACAGTCAAGGAGCACCATCATGAGCTGGTTAAGGTCAGAACCGACCTCCAAAGCACTGTTCAAACAGCTGTGTTGGGTATGCAATCCGATCTTTCGGCGCAGATGTCAGCTCAACTCGCTGGACAGCTTGAGCAAATCCAGTCGCTGCTGGCTGACAAAAAACACCGCACGGGTTGACTATCTCCCCCCGGACACTCTGTTCGGTGGCGGAGTGTGCCGGGCTCTTCATTTCGCCTAAAGTTTTGGACTTGGGCCTGCCTCTGGCTCGGCCTTCTTTCTTGTGCTTTCGGTGGCTCCGCGCCGCCTTGTCGCGACTTTACCTTTGGATCGGGTTGCCGGGTTCAGTCTTGCGACCAATCTTTTCCTGCAGCTGCCTTTCGCTATGGGGAGGCCTTGCATCCAGGGCCCTCGACTTCGTTCTGTCTTAGTACCAGCAATCCCTCGGGACTCCGCAACAAGGAGTCTTTGTACGCCGACTGGGGTGTCGGCATTCACTGCTTCGCAGAGACTCAGCTCTCTGCTTCGACTCTGCCCTCTTCTAAGGCTCAGTTTCGCCGACATGCACAAGCCATGGGTCGGATGGCTCGCTTTGTTGCTGGTGCTCCAGCACCTCTTCGCACTAACAGCCTATGGGCCGGGGCCTGGACAGGCGTACTGCAAACCAGCGACTTCCCTTGCAGGCTGCAGCAAATCCCCTATCCCTCTGGACTTTTTGAATCTGGCCGCATTGTGCTTGCTAGACACTTTCTTGCCGATGTGCAGTTCCAGGTTGCTACAGTCTATGGGTATGCATCTGGACCTACATGGCCCGATGCTCGACCCCGCACCGACAACATGCTGCGGTGCCTCACTCAAGAGTTGGTCCTTGGTGCTCGCGGGCTTCGGGCCATCACCGGGGATTTTAATCATGATTTCGATTCACTGGAGCAGTGTGCAATTTGGCGCAGCCATGGCTGGATTGAATTGCAAAACTTGGCCGAGTCGCTTTGGGGGACTGCGATTCGTCCGACATGCAAACATGCCACTCGTCGCGACTACATTTGGCTGTCTCCTGAGGCTGCTGCTTGTTGTGTGCAGGCCTCTGTCCTCGAGGTGTTTCAGGAGCACTCCACTCTAATTGCTGGGTTCTCTCTGCCGTGCCATGCCGTTTCTGAGATTACCTGGCCGTTGCCCTCTGAGATTCCTTGGCCTGACATTAATGTTGAGGACTGGCACGGCGCCAGCGTTCATGAACCTGTGGCTTTTTCTGACTCCTCACAATGGTTTTGCGATTTTTCGCATGCCACTGAACGCAGCTTACAAGGTTTTGTCCCTGGACTTCCCAGTAACCACATACCTTCTTCCTGCTTTGGGCGAGGGCGCCGTCTTGCCCCACAGATTCGGAGTCATGGCGACTCTATTCCCAAGCCCAGCCGGCCTGGCGAGGTCAACATGCGTCACGATGGCTTGTGTCTCGAGGTACGGAGATGGTTCCAACAGCTGCGCCGGCTCCAGTCCCTCAAACATGCAATCCTTGCGGCCAACACTGCCCCGACTGCTGTGGACTACCGTTTGTCGCTTTGGCGCTCCATCCGCTGTGCCAAAGGTTTCCAAGGTGGTTTCTCTGCCTGGTGGACCAATCGGCCTGCTCGTTTGGTTGGTAGCCCTCCAGTCTTACCTTCGACTGTTCCTGACTCAGGCACTGCTTGCTGCCTGTTTGAAGACTTCAGATGTAACTACCGTCGTTTGGAGGCTTGGCACCTCCAACGAAGGGGGCAAATCCTGGATTGCAAATATGACAAAACACTGTCCCAGCTCTACCGTGAACTTCGTGATCCCGCTCCAGAGCAAGTCGACACCCTTGTTGTGTCCCGTGAGTACGCCATTTTGGCTGTTTCTGACAATCAGGTGCACTTGAGCGGTTCACTTGATCTTCGAGGCTCATCTACTTGGGCCCTTGATGGACTTCCTGTGAACATCTCTGATGCCGACGATGTTGTGTGCACCTTGTCAGCCTCTGCATGCCCCGGCCAGGAGCTTGAGCAGACCCAGACGCTCTCCTCAGTGCCGGATGTTCAGTCAGAATTTGTTTCGTTGTGGGCAGGCCGTTGGCTACAACATGCCTCCTTTACTGCCTCGCATTGGCAGCGCTTTTTAGCTTTTGCTGCCGCTTTTCTCCCTCGTCAAGTTCTCACTTTGCCCAGCCTTTGTGCAACCGATTGGCTTCGTGCAGTCAAGCGTTTCCGTCCCCGGGCTGCCAGAGGTCCTGACGGATGGGCCAAAGCCGATTTGTTGCACATGCCGCCCGCCAGGATTCAACAACTCTTGGACTTCCTTACTCGCCTCGAGGCTGGGCAAGTCAACTGGCCAAAACAGCTCATTGTGGGCTTCATCTGTCTGCTGTCCAAGCAGAATGGGCGATCCGATGCACATGGGTATCGACCCATCTGTCTTTACTCCATTGTGTATCGTACCTGGGCCGGTCTTCGCTCGCGGCAGCTGTTGCATGCCTTGAAACATTGTGTACCGGAGGGCCTGCACGGCTTCGTCCCTGGCAGGGAAACCACCACATTGTGGTATGGCATACAAGCTGAGATCGAGCTGTGTGCTCAGGGTGGCGCTCCGCTGCTCGGCCTGAGCACCGACATCATCAAGTGCTTTAATAATCTACCCCGCCTTCCGCTTTTGGCTGCCGCTGCTCAGCTTGGGGTTCCCTGGCAGGTCCTGAACCCATGGGCGGCTTTCCTCACCCAGACCGAACGGCGGTTTTTGGTGCGAGGCCAAGTCAGTGAGCCGCTGACTTCCACCTCTGGCTTTCCCGAGGGCTGTCCACTTAGCCCGTTTGCCATGCTGATTGCTGATGTGGCTTATCACTTGTACATGCAAGCCTTCGTTCCGGAGATCAGATCCTTGAGCTACGTCGATAACCTCGCCTCTCTGGCATCCTCCCCTGCCCAGCTGGCCAAGAGTTTCCAGGTTACACGGTGCTTTATGGACTTGCTTCATCTGAGTCTCGACACGGCTAAAACTTACACCTGGGCGACAACTCCCAGTGATCGCAAAGCACTTTCTGCGCTTGGACTCCCTGTCCTCGACTCTGCTCGGGAACTTGGGGGATTCTTGGCTTTTGGCCCGAGGGTTCATAATGCCCTGCTTCAGTCCCGGTGTTCTGCCCTCGACCCCCTGTGGGCGGCTTTGCGACGGTCTCGGGCCCCTACGGCACTCAAGCTGGCAGTTCTACCCCGAAAGTTCTGGGCACGAGCTTTGCATGGCATCTCAGGTTGCCCTCTTAGCCTGGCCTCTCTGAACCAACTCCGGACGAGTGCCACTTCTGCCTTGCGCATTCGGCCCGGTGGAGTAAGCTCACTTCTTCGCCTGTCAATTGCGCCTGACATGTGTACTGACCCGGGCTTCTTTCAGCTGTGGGCTTGCGTTCGGGACCTTCGGCGCATGGCCCGCAAGCTCAGTGGACTGCTGGGAATGTGGCGTAGCTTCATGAAGGCTTGCGACGGCCGTCCCCTTCATGGGCCTTTTACAAAGCTTTTGCAGGTGCTCTCGCAAGTGGGCTGGTCCGTCGACACCCCACCTTTTGTGATTGATCACGAAGGTCTCTGTCATGATCTTCTTTGCGCGCCCGCTCTTCTGTTGCGTCGCAGATTGGAGCATGCCTGGCTTCGCTTTGTTGCCTTCTCACACAGGCACAGGGCCACAATGCATGACTTGGATGGCATTGATCCCTCGCTCCTGCGAGCTGATGTCGGTGGTCTCACAGCCCTGGACACCGCTCGATATGCGGCTGTCCGCTCGGGCGCCTTCCTTTTTGACCATTCACAGTCCAAGTTTGACCTCACCAAAACAGGGGACTGTGATGTTTGTCACGTGCCTGACACGGCAGAGCACCGGGTATGTGCTTGTCCGAAATTTCGTGCTGCTCGGGAGCCACACCTTTGGGTCTGTTCCAAGTGGTCGACACTGCCCAGCTGTGTCACGCACCACCTGTTGCCGCCCGAGAACCCCCACCTGCCCACTTTTCGCCAGCTTCTGCATGGACTGCCAGATCTCTCTGGCTCCTTCACTAGTCTTAGCTTGGGTTTAGGTTGGCAGCATCTATTTACGGATGGCTCCTGCTGTGACCATGGAGGCGCAGACTTCACCTTGGCTGCTTGGGGCTTGGTTCATGCCCAGCTTGGAACTGCGCTGGCTTGTGGTCCGGTGCCAGGCCTTCTTCAGACCGCCCCCAGGGCCGAGACCTGGGCTATGATTGCGGCCGCCAAATGGGCTATTCGTGTCGCTCGGCCCTGTTTGGTCTGGTCCGATTGTCTGCACGTGGTTGAGGGTGTTGGGGCTCTCCAGAATGGCGAGCACCTGCAGGATCATGCCGACTCTGACCTTTGGGATATTTTGGCCTCCCTACTCGCTCAGTTGGACACCGCCGTTTTCCAGGTGCGCCACACTCCGTCACACTTAGATGACCGGCTCACCACTTCGCCTTTCGAGGACTGGCTTGCTTGCCATAACGGCCATGCTGATACTTTGGCAACCTTTGCCAACTCGAATCGATCTCAGCAACTGCTGGATGTCTACCAGGCCGCGCTCCGCTACCACACAGACATGCTGCAAATACTGCGAGCTCTTCGAGGCATCTACTTTGGCATTGCCGATGCTACGGCTACCCGACCTGGCCACCCACATGCTGGTGCTGAGCTTCTGGACTCGGATGAGACTGCCCGCCCTCTTGCAGTGCCTCGCCGATGCGACTTGGAGACTCTGGTTCCTGTGGGCTGGGCTCAGCTTGTCAGTGAGGGCAACATTAATCTGCCGAGGGATTTTATTCTGCAGCTCTGCCGTTTCGTTTTTGTACAGGACAGTCAGGCAGACACAGCTTTTACGGTGACATGGCTTGAACTTGTTTTTATGTTGGAGTCGGTTGGGGATTTTGTTTATCCGGTTTCGGGTCCTGGAGGTGGTTGGTTATCTCCTGCCTCAGTCGCCTTTTTACCTGCCCCACCAACGGTGGCTGGGAGGCTTTCTTTAGTTCGGCGTGCTTTGAGACATGCCTTGAAGTGCCTTCGGCTTCAATGCCTTTTTGTTTCAGGGGTTGATCGCACTGAGCTTGGGATCGGTTTTTCCCTTGATGGTTTAGTCATTGGAGCTGAAGAGCGACTTCTGCTTCGAGCAAGGGCTGCGTTAGGCCACTT